CGAGCCACTTGCTTGACTTTATTTTTTTTTATGAGTTTTTCACCTATGCTATTATGAATATTGAAAAATTAAAAATTAATTTTTATTTAATTAATTGTTGATTAAAATAACTAATATACTATAAATGATAAAATTAATATTAAATTTTATTTTATTTTTTTATCTTAATTGCATAATTACAGACAATAATTTTTTATTTTTTATCTCACTTCATCTATATATTATTATTTAATATCTTGTTGATTAAAATAACTAATATAATATAAATGATAAAATTAATATTAAATTTTATTTTATTTTTTTACCTTAATTACATAATTACAGACAATAATTTTTTATTTTTTATCTCACTTTATCTGTATATATGTGATTCGAATTCAGATATTTTATTTTTAACGAAAAAAATAATTATTGATTTATTTAAGTCATTGTTTTAAATTTTGTTATTTTAAATATTAATTAAAATGTATTGCTTATGCTTAAGTAAAACCCTTTTTTTTTTTTTTTACCAATGAGGGGTTAGATCAAGTGGCAAGCGATTTGTTCCAGTTTAAGTAAGGTCTCGAGTTCGAAACCTTTTGTATGCAGCAGTTTTCGTTGAGAGACCCACCCACTATTTTGGTGCGCCACAGCTGGTCGAGTCCGGAGTAGTCGGGACGAAGCCCCGGATACCGGATGAGAAACCAAAAAAAAAAAAACCCTTTTTTTATTGGTATGATTATAATTTAGTATACTACGATCTTACGACAGCAATCCAAGAAGAGCGGGCATCCAAATTTTTTCGCATATCTGAAGGGTCTGGCATATAAAGATGGTATGGGTCTCGAATATAAAGATGGTATGGGATTTTAAACTTCCTCGAGAGTTTTTATGACTGTTTAGAACAATAAAGTTCTAATGGCGTGCTTATTCTTTTTTTTTTTTCAACAATGTTAGAAGAGTTTCATTCAAGTCCAACAAAATCGTATTGAAATTGGGTTGAAACCAATGTCATCTCTATACTTTCAAGTTTTGTATGTTCTTAGCCCTCTACCAAGGATTTGTTCACTGTCATCCCTCTACTTCACTAAAGAGCCAAACGTCCCCCTACTCCTCTTTTTTCGTTCATTGTTATCCTTTTTCTAACATGGTTCATGTTGACGCCATTGTTGACCGTTAATTCTTAAACAGTTAACAGTTAAACTATTTGTTACCTTTTTTTTTTACATGTGCGGCAACCTATTCTGAAAATAGGGAGCATTTAGTAAGATATTGTATAGGATGTGGATCTGTCATGGGCCTGACTCATTTCAATATGATTAATTGACTCTATGGTGCAAGTGGCTTCTTTTTTTCTTTTTTTTTTTGACAAGGATAATGCTTAGAAAGTTAGTATGAATTACTTGTTAATAATTGAAGCCCCGATCTCCAGATCGGGTGAACATTTCACCCCCTCAAATGAGGCGCGCGACCATCAGACCGCTTTTGGTGAAGTTCACGACGACGGTGGAACTCAAAACTCCGACAACTTCGCCCAAGCATTTAAGGCTTGGAGTCGAACCATTGAGTCTAAAGGCCTACTTTGCCAAGCAGCTTTTTCATCCCTCTCTCCACTAGTAAACTTTGACCATGTCATATAAATAGGGTAAGTTCCGACTACTAATTAAAATGTTAAAGTTATTAAAATTATAAAATATTATCTTTAAAAATATTAATTTTGTTTAACAAAAGTGTTTTACAGGTTGTTTTCTTAATTTTTTTAGGATATGTCTAAAAACTTATCTTTTAATTAACATTTTTAAAAACCAATCATTAGATTAGAAATTCTATTCATATATATCATGCATATTAATTTTCAAATTATTCTAATAAGTCTAATCGTTTCGTTGATTATAAAAAAATTTAATACTATTAAATATATGTTCGTAAATAGAATTTCTTATAAAAAAATTTAATATTATTAAATCTATATTAGTAAATAGAGTTTCTTTTTTATCAAAGATTTATAAATAGTAGATCAATATGAATAGGGCTTTCAATCTAAAGGTTAGTTTTAAAAGTATTAATTAGAAGGTACGTTTAAAGAAGTCCTCCAAAATAAATTTTAGAAGAAAATAAATTTTAGAAGAACGACTTATTCTATACTATTTTCTTTTATTTAATTTGATTGATAAAAATAGTTGATAAATTTTTTTTTACCAGCAAAACCAAATGGAAAATATATTACTTAGGAGTGTAAGGAATACTCCCAAACAAAATACAACCCTGAAACAAAGGTTCAAATGCAGTTGCTTTACAAGCACACAAGGTATTACAATTTAGCACATAAAATGAAAGAATTAAGTAAAATAAATTCATCCCAT